AAAAAATGCTTTCAAAAATCGACTTTGTATTATCGGATAGATTTTATGTATCAAGTAGCGATTTCAACAAACTGAAATATTGTGAAGCTATAATTAAGTAAACTGGTCGTGTAATGACGACTGTAGGTCTTACATACCGTTACGTTACTGATGAGTGTGAAGTTGCAGGATACAAATGGCCTGCTGGCACAAATTTTCATTTGAATATTTTTGCGGTACATGTCACCGAATTTTGGATTGATCCTAAAGCTTTCAATCCGGATAGATTTTATAATTATAGTCCTCCCGATTTAATGTTTTTGGTTTAGGCAGACGTGCTTGCCCTGAAAAAAATCTGGCAATGAATGAATTACTTTCATTAATGACATAAGTATATAAGCATTTATAACGCTGATTTGGTTAATATAAATGAACCATTAAAAATTTTTACTAGTGGACTTGCGAATTGTAAGGAATTGAAGGTTAAAATTAGTCCTCGAACTTGATTTATATGCATCTGAAATCAAATTGGCATGTCACAATAGCTAATTAGATATTTATTCTTTATTTGTTAAATTTATAACACAGCCGTGATAACAAAAGTTTTGCTGACAGAATAATGTTACTAAAATAGGAGTTCTTAGAAGAGTATTACTATTTTTAACTGGGGGTGATTCCCCCGATATAAAATAAATATCGACGTATTAAGGGTTTCATAATTTAAAAAAAAAATAGCATATTTCGAAAATAAGTTGGAGTTGAAAAAATCTTATTTGTGTATAATGTTATACAAAACCTAAGGGTTTTATCACTGACAAAAGTCGAAACTAGGTTTTGCGTTTTATCAAAAATTTTTTAAAATGACAAAATGGCAAAAGGTGATTTAAATGTTATTCTAAAAGAGCTTTTGCTAATGCTTTTTCTCTCGATTAAAACCGAGATTCAAATGTGTCAATTTAATGTTTTTACAAAGAGCTCCTGTGAAAAATTTTGCATTTTCAGAACCAAATCTATTACTACTAAAATTCAAAAAAGTTAATGTGTCATTTATTTAAAGTGTCTCTGTCAATGATTTTGCACTTTCATGGCAAAATTCGTTGCCACTAAGATCCAAGGAAGTCAAGGTATTATTCTTGTAAAGAGCCATTGCTAATTTTTATTCTTTCACAACCAAGTTGATTCCAAGCAAGTTTCCGAGATGTCAAAGTGCAATTACTGTCTAGAATCAGTGTTATCGTTTTTTCACCTTCAGGGCCAAGGTTATTCCCAGCAGATTCAAAGAGGTCAGAATCGCATTCTTGCAAAGTGGTTTTACTAATCATTTATTTAACCTTTATAAATAGGCATGTTACAAGTAATGTCCAAAGAGGTTAAATTCGTATTTGTACTGAAAGCTCCCACCAATAATATCTTTAATCTTCCTGAAAAGTTATTGCATAAGAATTTTAGAAAAGTCAGATTGGTGTTTATTTTAAGGATTTCTATTGCTTCGCTATATCAATATTCATAAATTTTTAAATTTTTAGGTTTATTCCATTTTTGTAGGAACATTCTGATCAACTAAACTCTAAAATTATCAACCACTTCATAGAAAATATGGGAAATTCATAGAGAACAATTGGATTATATAGAAAAGGACTAAGCCACTAAAATATAAATCATATTCTTCGATAGAAGTAGAATTAAGCTGTATATTCGAGTAATGGCCTTGGAAGCGTTATATTTAGTGGGGTAAATCGTTTTTGTTCCTCAGTGTCTAACAATAAAAAATACATCATTATGATTTTTTCATCAACGAAATAATCTAGCGGTTGGCTCTACAATAGTGATACCGCCATTCTGCACCATTTCCGATTACAAGAAGGCATGAAAATAAACTTCCATAATATTCCCTAAGGTTAAAATACGTAAATATTTCATAAAGACATTTATTCGGCGGTTGTTCAATCATTTTAGCAGGACAAGTTTGTACAGTACGTAAATCCTATTAT